CAAGAAGAAGGTTATATTCAAAACTTGCATGCGAGCACAAGGGGAAGTGCTCAGTGAAATAAAGTAAGTGGAAAGAAGCAGGGAAGGAAAACAAATACTTGGCATGTTTCAATAAATATAGAGAGGAAGGGGGACAAGGTGCAAGCTTCAAGACAAAATGACTGTAAAAATCATCAATCTTTGACCTAGAAACAGGGTAGGACAAGTGACAGAATATCGAAAATTAGATCGTCTCAATGGCAGAGCAGGGTGGCCACTCTAGAATTAGTACCTAATTTGATTGCACAGTTGCATTTTACCAGCTGGCAAAAGGCTTTTTCCTAGGCTTTTGTGCACTTTCCTCCTAAATTAGCACCCCTGTCTTATCTAGCGAGACAGACATTTGATTTTCTGTATGATTTTTAAGTGATCCCTACTTCACCTTAAATGGCGAAGCCACACCAACCAGAAGTACAAGTCTAGTTATAAAAAAAGTTAATATTCAAACTGCCCCTGAAAAGTTTATATGGCTTACTATTTTAATTAACCCAATCCAAAAAGCCTAGAATTTGGGGAGAATATTCTCCTTTATAAATGCACATCTGTCTATTCTGAGATTGGAGCTGCCCGTAATCTCAATAGCTGCTCCCTGTGCTGCTGGAGACACGTTTCTGAGACTGGCTGAGCCAGCTTGGATGATTGAGAGTCTACATCTATTCTGAGCTTCTAAATGCACAGCTGATAGCTCAAGTTGACTGTGCAAGAATAATGACGTGATGTTATACCTTAGGACTTTTTTTTTCTGGCATAGGCTACCTAGAATGAGAGGTCACAAAAGACTCTCCTCCCTCCAGGTCCCATATAAGTTTTGGTTGCATGGGTCACTCCTTGCGGCAGATGAAGATCACTTACATTGTCAGAACCAAACTATCAGAGAAAGGCTCCCTGAAGAAAAATGACAAAAAACATCTCTCAGAGACATGCAGCATCTCATAAAAATAGCAGTACCACCACTGCGACCAGTATACACTTCATTACAGTAGATAGTCAGGATTAATATCTAAGAGGCAATTGCTGCAGTGTCTACTCCAGCAATTATTTGTATATGCATGCATACAGGAGATGAGGCAGGAATAGTGGTGAAATGACACACAATGCCTCTTTGCTTCCCTAGCTATGTCACTCTTGAAATATGAGCACTCTCTAAGCTGATGACTTCCTCGTACTACTTATACATTATCCTGCCTGGGCAACAACCAAGTTCTGTGCAACAGTACTTTATTATTTTAATTAAGCTTATTGCAAGAGTAATCATCATTGCCATCAGTATCAATCACCAGTAATATTCCCGTGATGTCTGTAAACGATGAAGGTCCTAACTGACAATAAATAATAATGCTGCTGGCTTGAGTTGACACTTCATTGGACTTTACTGGGTTGCTCTAAATACTCCAGGGCTTGCTACAAAAAGAACTATTTATCTATGACAAAAGCTAGGTCTACATGATATTTGTTTTGGCTTCCCAAATGGATATATTCATAATGTTTGCAAAATTTATCCTTTTGATTATGGCAGCTACCATATCTGAAACATATTTTAAAAGAAATTAGAGAGGTCCCACTCCTCTGCTGCAGAACTACTTTCCCACATATCCTTAATTAATATTAATTTGAGAAATTTCTTTATTTTTTGGAAGAAGGCAAAGTATAAAGTTGTTTGGATTACAATAATGCTTTTGCCATTAATAGGGAAAAAAATCTGAGGGACATCTTTCCACTCACATTTAAACAATTCCACAATGTCAAGATCTGACTGAAATATATTACTTACGTATTTAGTTCAAACGGCCAGTATACTTGCTTGTTTTTGTCATCATACTGCTATGGTTTAAGCACTCAGTCTCCTCCAGTTTGTGCCACAAATACTCTTAGTACGACAAAGGCGCTTCTGATATTTTAGAAATTGCATTCCTATTGTTATTTCTCAGTGTGTTTGTTAATGCTCTCAGGATGATCGTTTGGAATTCAACAAGACGAGACATGTACAACTGTTCCGTAATCATAGACCTTAAAATATTAACAGAGTATTTCCAAGAAGTTTCAAAATATTGGTATCATGGACAATAACCCCAAAATATCTTTGAGATCTCTCATTTAAAAAAAGGACTATTCCGAAATACCCATCCACCTGAGCCATAGCTGATCTCAGCTGTAAGGTCAGTAGCTCACCATTCCTTTTTCTCTCTGTTCTTCTTTCTCTTCTCTCCCCTGGAAAAGGCAGGCCACCAAGCAGGGAAGGGATCTTTGGTGGGTCATAGCAGAGAAGCTTGTTTATTGTACCAGACTTAAGAAAAGACTGACGCTTTCCCAAAGCACATTTTCATGAAATTGAAAGCTTTATGATTTTTATATTTTGATAAGGAACATGGCTGTCAAAAGGGCATGATGAGGAAACTCTTTAACCACGCGTAACAGCACAAAGCCAAGCATGCAGCAGTCTGCAGGACAAGAGCTCCTGTAAATACTCCACTCACAGTCTGTGTGGGGACCTAACTCTTTTACAGGTGCTCAGACGAACCTATTGGAACCAATGATCCAAAGGGTCCTGTTGTTCAGCCCTTAGAGCATGGCCACAGAGCTGGCCTCCAGCAGCTCTCTGGCTCTACATGCTATTGCTCTTGGCTCTCAGTCATCAGGGCAGAAATGGGTCCAGCTTGGATCCTGTTTTCAGCCCAGCCTGGGGTCTCCCCAGCCCAGAGCCAGGACACTAAGGGGTGTGCAGGCAACGCGAGCCAGCAGGGCTGCAGTGCCTATCTGTCGTCATGGTATAAACACAAAGTTAATGATCTGTGTTAGATGAAGCTCAAGATTGCATTGATTTTCAATGTTCTCCATGGAAGTAGCTCACCCAGCTGGCAGAGTTTTGAATTCAAAGCATCAGGAAACTTCTTTGTCTTACGAAAGACCCAGCAGTACGGAAAGTGGAGGCAGAACAATTAAAAGAGGCTGTCCATTTGCCCTGGATAAATCTATTCTTTCGTTCTCCATCACATGCACTGCAAAAGGACAAAGATATGCATGAAGCATTTAGGCAACAGAAGACCATTCCTGCATTTATTTCTTGCCCAGCTGACCCCCTCACATTCACTTCATGCACTCTGCCATTTTCCACCTCCATTTTTTCTAATGCCTGTATTTTGTAACTGGTTAGTTTAGAAGACACTTTTCTCTGTCTGTTTATCTACTATCTATATCTCTGTTCATTCTGGGGTCACTCAAAAACCCAATGCATGTGTATAAACAACTCTTTTTTTTTTTTTTTTTTTACTTTTGAGTGGCCTAATAGGCAGTGTTATTCTAAGGTCAGACAATTAATTGGCAACAAGACCACTGTTGCATCCCTTTTCGCTGCTGTTCACCTCTGGCGAGATGCAGTCTGGTCCGTTCTGTGTGCTTCCAGGGAAGAAAACGCTCGGAGGTAAATCTCCCTTTTCCTATCAAAGCTCGCAACACCCACTCTTTTCTGAACATAAGTGCAATTTTGCTATGGAAAGAGAGAGTCTGTTCCCTGACCAGACCATCCCACTGAGGACTGGAAAATTAGAAATGTTACCATTATTATTGCAAAGCTTTGTTCAGTGAATAAAGCTATCGTCGCTTCTCCAAATGGGAGTTGCTTTCTTTCCATCCTTTCTTTGTGCTTTAGTGCTGCAACTCATCTTTACAAAGATGTCTCACTCTCCCAGTTTCTTCTCCTTACAGGTGTTAGTTATGCCATATATCTCTTTCTATATGTCATGTCACAGCAAGTCACGGTCCTGGTGCTTTGGGCTCTTTTTAAAATTACATTTTACACATCAGTAAACTTGTAATGTAGGAACTGCTTTCTTAGTGTTATTTATATCTCTGCGTAGCAAAAGAATTTGTCAGAGAGTGATATGAATGTTATTTATCTGACGGCTCAGCTTTATTGACTGCTACATTTCACATCCTTCAGTACTTTTTGGCAGAGGAGTAAATAACAATGCTATTAACCTCTAGCACCAGTATAAAAATAGGCAGTTATTAAGGGGTAAATATTACTTTGATTATTATTGCCCCAGTCTGCTTTCTCTGTAATAAATAAATTCCCTTTGTGGATCTAAAAAAATACCAAATTTTATTTAAGTTGTAGACAGCCATCTGGCTACTTGCTCTTGGTAGTCTCTGGTACCTTCAGCGTTAAGTAAGGAGTGTATACTTCCTTAGCCACCTCACTGGCTAGGATTGAATTAAGGATAGGAAAATAATAAGAACTGGGCAGGTTAAGCCAACATGCTTAGGGCTGGGTTGACATCTGTCTGTGTTGCATTAGTGGCTGCCTTCTGTGACCCAGTCTAACCTCAAATAAATACCAAGTAGCCTTATGAAGGGCCCAGACTTATTACCATTTAAAGAGCAAAAGTCCCAGACACTAACAATGGGAAATGAGTTAAGTCCTAAACCCTTAGCCCTTTCAGCAAGAATTAAAATACACACAGGGCTCACATTCTCAGAAGTCTTTTCACATCCAGGCTCCCATTGGTTCTGAAAACTAATGGACATGATATATCTAAATACCCTAGGGATCAAGGTTCCAGCACCTCACCAGGGATGTTCAGCACCCTGCAGGATCAAGGCCTTTGCAGAAGAATCTCTAAATCCCCTCAAGTGGTAATATTTCATTACAGACAAGGGAGAGCAGTATAAGCCACATTTCTGTTTCTATGGCAATTGCAGTAGCAGGAAGCATTAGGGTTTGTTACCCTATAGAAGTCTATCTTCTGTTAGTGGACAAAAGTTTCCTCTTTAAAATCTGATCTGCTTCAGCTGGAATAAAAATAAATGGCTGATAGCATGAATGCATTTTTAAGTATCCAGTAAATAAAGCAGCTCTGTATATAAAGTCTAAATATGTATATTGGGTTAGATTAAAACAATATAAAGAATTAGCATATCTAGTAATGCTCTGACATTTAGACGCTCTCTTTCTTACTCTTTAGGGTTAACCACTCTGTGTAAGAGATCAATGCCAAGTCGAAAGTGCGGTCATTTCAGGCTGTGGAACATGCTGGATTTCATCTTATGGAGTATCTTTCTTCTGGTAGATATTTTCATCTGTTTCATTTCATTCTTCAAGTGGCTTATGACACTGGTATTAGTGGAGGCTAAAACCGGCATCTGCCTATCTCCATGCATCAGCCCAGGAGAGCAATCCCTGTCCTTTCTGAAACTTGGGACGACCAGCAAGCAGTTGTGTGCCTGACCCTGGGCTCATCAGCACGTGTGCTAGCAACAAGATGAGAACAGCCTTGATGCTCTTGACCATGATCTTCCATAATGGCTTAGTGAAAGTATTCAAACTTTTAAGTTTGAAAATTGCATCAATGTAAAGCATTGGGCTATGCCTAGAAGAAAACAAAAGAAACAGAGAAAGGATGCTGGTGAGCTGCTTGGTCTGACAGCAGTGGAAAGGTGCCACATTTTCGCTCATCTGCCCCTGTGAGTGCTCAGTGGCAGAGGAGTCCTCTTTTTGACTTCAGTGGGAGCTGAATTTGGCTGGAAGACAGATCAAAGGCTGACACCCCGGGCAAGGTAACAGTGGTGAACGGTCTCACGCTTAAGTGAACAGCCAGATCTCCCATCTCTGTATCCAGTAGGTCATGGCAAGAATAGGCTTTAAATGGCACACAGAAATACTTGTTAATCCTGACAAGAGAAGCGCCAATATGGCCATGGCCATTAAGGTGGGATTAATGGGGTCGCTACGGTAGGAAACATATGAGGCCGTGTCTGAGTTTCTTGACACATGATGCCAACAAAACTTGTTTGGTCTTATTTTTCTCTTACTAAACAGGACCGGCTATGTTTAAAAGGGAGCATTCAAACATATCTGGAAACATTTTTTTAAGAATGGGGGATATAAGTGATTTTGTGGGCCTAGTGGAGACCACAGTCACATAGAGATAACTTTGATTTTATATTGTGATCAAGCTGAAACAACTTGGAGCTTTTGACCGTTCAGAGAAGTAACTTAGGAGAGAAGAGTGGATAAGAGAAGTAAGGATTGGAAACTGGTGATTTTTAGAGCAACAATGTAAAATGTCAAAAACCTTTTAAGTGAGTCCTTAGCATTTGGCCCTAATTACTGAATCTTTTCAATGGGATGGAGGAACTTTTGCTACATGCCTTTCATACAGCTACTCTGTATGCTATTCTGTATTCTGCTTGCTGATCAGATAAAAAGCAGATGGAAAACAAAATGAACTTTAAGGAAGCAACAGCTAAAGCAGCATGTTCTTTGTATACAAATTTGTTTAATGAGGTTATATCTATTATGAGTTTAATTGCAGCAAATCTGATCCTCGGCCATTCCAAAAAAATTAGTCACTACTAATAAAAGAACATATGCAGTTTACAGTCTTATTGAGCTTTTCTCCAGAGACACTTTTACAGATTCTTTGTCATCTGTTTAATTAAAAGTTTACCAACCTATTCTGAAAGCTGATTCCAAATTTCATGTAGATATGTTGCTTTAAAACCACAAAACACATTTTTGTAAATTGAGCATTTCAACCTCTCCTAATAAGAATACAGGAATTTAACATGTGTTCCATGAGATTTGCGATGGAAAATCATAATGAGTCATGCTACATCTTAAAATCTAATTTATCTTATTATTTTTATATAAATAGGGAGCAATAATCCTGGAGCTGTATCAGAAATAAAATCAACAGCTATTTCGCAAATAATTAGGTCCTTACCCAAATGGATTACAGTACTGATTCAGATAACTGAATTGGGTATAGGTGGCCCCATGCGTGATGTATATTATGTGCATATGTCGGCATATGTCATAATCCAATATTTTTGTTGCAAAGAAGACAGCGAAGTCACATTGAGAGTGGAAACTGTGAAAGCTATTCCTGTAGGCTTAAAAAGATGCTTTCCTCCCTCCCTCTCTCTATTCGTCTCTCTCTTCTTCTCTCTCATTTTCAATGTGACTCAAACCCCAGATCCTAGAAGTGTACTACGTATTTTTTCACTTGGCTGCCTATCAGTTGTGATTTTTATCTTAACTCTTTGCACATTAACTTTTTCAGAAATAACAAGTCATGCAGGATGAGATATTAATCATGAGTTTGGTTCCTACATAATGACAAGGAACTGCAGAAGCTCATATCCAGGGCCACATCACATCCCCAGCTCAGGGGATTGGTATGCCCTGACCTCAGAAAGAAGTTAAATGCTTTCAAAGCTCTGAAAGTCACAGCTTCCGCAATAGCTTTTTGACCTACACAAAACAAGCTGGTGGTTTTCAGGGTCACGTGGATGGATTTTGTGTACCCATGAAGTTTGAATCTCTCTCTTTGTGCCACGCGCAGAGGCAACAGCACAGAGGCCACTGCACCCATTGCCAGCTCCTGTTGTTAGACATGACTCATTTTTCTAGCAAGGTGGAGCCAAAGAGAGTAAACCTTAAGGGAGGGAGATCTCATGTTGTAGGAGCTAGGAAGAAAGGAATATATCACCATTGGAAAGTGGAAGTTCAGAACAAAGCTATATGGAAACTTGTGCAAATGCTGCAGCTCCATTTTTAAGTAAGAGAGCTTCAGAAGAACATCATACTATGGTTTCATACATTTTACAGGCTTCTAAAAATAGTTATATTCCTGATATTTTGAACAGTTTATAAAAATACTTCCTTAGATCCTCTTTACCCATTTTAGATCTCTACCTTGACAGGGAATGTTGCAAATGAAGGATTCCAGGATGAGATGATTGCGGGTGAGAGAGACAGCCTTACATAGAGTTTATGTGTCTGCAGATACAAAACACATCTTTATCTCTCTCTCGATTCTCTGTAGTCATGGCAAGAAAAAATCAGATACAGAAAAGGAAAATCGGAAGAAAGGGAAATAAAAGGGAGAAAACAGACAAAATATGGTTGATAGAAGGAATTGGAAAATATTAGAAGCTTTTGTGTATTCTATTATTTGTTCATTTTTGTGGCTTAAAGATACAATAGTGAAAAGCGTCATAGACTAGGTTCAGTAGAAAAAGAGAGATGAAAAGACTTCACAAAGGTGAGCAGCTGTATGGAAGGTGACCACAGCCTTAGCTACTGAGCATAAGATCCTTTCATAAAAATGTATAACACTGGAAAATTAGCCAGCAGAAAAGCAAACAATTTCCTAATCACCAATTTCCCTACCACTCCCTAATATGTCAGATAAATAAGTTCTTACATATCCTGTCTCATAACATGAATAATTTATCTTTTAAATTCCCAAAACATTGGTTCTAAAAATTGCTCATTTTATTAAAAAAAAAAAGCACAATCCAGCAACGGCACACTTCTCGAGTACTAAGAGTACTTTAGAATAATCTTGTCGTTTCAGAATGCTTTCTTTAGGAATGAACATGGTATATTGACACAGGTAATCCATCTAATGAAGTAGTAGAGGAATACTACTTAGATTTCTGTATAGTGAATTCCAGTCTTTCCCTCTGTGCAATTTTATTGCTGCATTTTTATGATACAGACAAAGCTATACAGCCAGGACAGTCATTCAGAAAATACAATATTGATTATATTGATACTGTCTACTTAATCTCCAGAACTTTGCATAATAGCATAGTCTTCCCAATGTATTTCTTTTTAAGAACAGACAAAATTTTTTAGACAGTTCCTTGTAATTTTTAACATTTGTGTTTATTTGAATCAGTACAGAAAGGTAACCAGCAATGCAAAAAAAAGTATCATTTATATCTTCCTGTATTTAAATATATTATCCATACTGAAATTAGACATTTATTAAGAGCAAGATATTTATTTCATACTCAGGGTTTTTGAAGTCTGCAAAATCAGCAGTATGGAAATTAGTAATTTTTGCTCATCTTACATTGTTTAATAGGTTAAACTGAGCATAAACTCAATGGCAGCATTGTGATTCACATCTAAACTGGGCTTTGTTTCTGTTATGGTATACTCTTCTACTCCTTAAGGGCTTCTCTGGTTCCCACTGAAGTCAAAGAGAGTATTTCCCTTGACACAGGATTACCTTATGAGATTCTATACATGTATTATTTGTAATAGCTGTTATAGCTGCACGTGCCACAGCCGATGTAGCTTGGATATGCTATATAGTGTATTTTTAGGGACTTTAAAATCTCTAGAGGCAAAGTCTTCCTGGGTAGAAACTATGGTCTTATTTGGAGATTTTTTTTTTATTCTAATTACATTAAATAATATTTCATCTCTTTTTTAAGTAAAAGAAAGCAAAAGAGGATTCATTATTTACTTCTTTATTTCTGTCATTTCCACACTCTTAAGAAATAGATCACCTCAGAAAATACTGTTTGGCAAGTGACTCATTCCTAATGTGATCTAGTCACTTTGATTTGTAAATTACATTAATTGCTTTATTTATTTTCCCTCTGGAAGCAGTAAACACATGTATAATTACTATAAAGGGATTTGTTTTTCAGCTAGCAGGGAATTGCAGCTTATTCTGCAAGAGGTCTTAGGTGCTACTGTTACATTAGGTGCCTGCTCAGCCTCAAGCCTAAGGGGATCCGAATACCTATCATACAAGAGTATGTCCTGTCCGTCAGCTCTTATGGGGCTCTGGGGTGGGAAATGCTTTCTTTCTCCTGTTGAGGTTGATTTACTTTGTGTTTGAATTAAACATTCATTAAAGTGAAATGTGGAACTTGGGTCTCTTTCTTACGAGTAAGTGCTGTGGTCACTGGCAGAGCACGTTGGGTAGGGAGGCAGTTTTATCAGAGCTGCACCCCGCAAAAATGAAGTGCTTGGAGCACCTGAAGAGTCTTTCTTGCCCCCTGCTTCCCCACTTTGTACCTGTCTGCACCACATCCTGCGCATCTCACTCCACTCTGCTGTTCCCTTGGAAATCCCAGCTGGAGTTATCATTAAATATCAGGGGCCAGAAAAGGACCTCAGGAAGAGGAGGGAACGGTGACATTGCAGGTAGCACAAGGGATACTAATACTTTTGATGGCCCTGACCATAGACCATTCTTTCTCTTTCCTTCCTCAGTCTTTCTTGCCATGAATATTTAACTATCCTATGCATAGTAGAACAGCTTCAGCAGAAGTGATTGAATGTCCTTCATAGCCTGGGGCAATAGGGCTTTTCAGAGAGGATGTGAGTACATGTCCCATGAGGCAGAAGAATGATTTGATCCCAGGTCTCTCATATCTCAGAGGAAAGCCATAACTGCTAGACTCTTGAGCAAAAGGGATCAGCAGGGTGTTGTCTGTTCTTGTTGGCTCTATTGGGCATACTCAGGCACTGCAGATGGGGTGGAAAGAGTCCTAAATGTTAGGCATTATAATACCCATCTATTCTGAGAGTAAAGACAGGGGACTCAATACACAGGGAGGATTTAAAGTTCTCCGACAGCCTTTAACTGTCTTTAATTTGGGTTAGTTAGTGCCGTACTTTATGACTTAGTATCCTTTACGATTTTGCACTGCTTCCCAGTCCAGGGGCCTAGCTGAGCTCCACTAATTCAGGGCCCAAAAACTAGTGAAGCCAGCATGGTCTTGCTGCATTTTATTTTCTCCTGTTCCTGGATTAAATTAGAGGGCCAGCCTGGCCTGCAGAGCAAGGTAATCTCAGGTCTCCCCCTACTAGTGCCACCTGGAAGGATTATTACAAGCATGGAGGGACTGCCAAATTAGTTTTGTTATGAATTTCCTCTGTGGGCCTTATGATTGCCCCAAAGGTACATTTCACCAGCACAGTCAGTTCAAAGAGACATGATAATTCCTGGAATACCTGGAAAAAAAAGGGATACTGTCACCTTGTAGGACCTACCTAACATACACAGTAACGGTAGCTGACAGCAGCTGAAACTGTTTGCTCACTGAGAAGTGGAGCAGAGAGACTGAACTCCTCCCTACCCTTACATTTTCTCAGTATATTTGATACACATGGTAGGGGGGAAGTTTAGGATGCCTAGCACTGCTTTTGGCTTTTCACTGTGTACAGATTAGCCCTCTCCAGCAGAATGGTCATCTAACCAGGGAGGGCCAAGGAGATGGTTTTGCTTTGTGAATGTGTTATGCATCCTTTGCAACTGCATTCATGTTAGAAATACAATCTGAATTCTTTCTTATCTTCCTGGCAAAGCATTGGATGAGCAACAGGGAGAACAGGGGAATGAAGATTAAAAGAAAAGAAAGAAACTATTGGAGTATTATGTCTTTTAACAGTTGCATGTCATTGGCAATGCAAATAGTGGCATGCACTCAGGTGCATGTGATTTTTGACACTCCTCTTATACTCTCCTCCCCCAAAAAATCCATGCACTCTTCTGCTTCAAATTTTTTGCTTCAAAGAATTGCTTGTATGCTCTGTTTCTCCTAGAAGATAAAACTTTCTGCTGTCAACACATTATCAAAAAGATAATCACTGAAGAGTACAATGGAATTTTTCAGAGTTTACCTCTTTGCACATAAATCTTTTCCACCAAAAGAATGGCTAGTTTTTCTGCAAATACAAAAGCAAAAAAAAAAAAAAAAGAAGGAATCTCTCTGCAGAATATACTAAGTGGTATAATCCCAGTAGGTGTAAACCTACAAGATGACTCAAAGCTGTGTCACCACAGCTTAGTGGTAATATACATGTCTCTCAGGAAAGTTTAATTAACGAGGGCACTACGGTCCCTAAGGCTACGTGGTTGGTAGTCAGTGCGGGAACTGGTTGGAGCAGCTGGCGGTGCCTCAAAACGCGACAGAGCAAACGTGCCAGCACGTGCCGTAGACAAGCGAATGCCTAGTGGCCAGCAGACCTGCAACAGAGAAGTGCGCTGGCAAAAAATGCCCACAGGTTTTCTATTTCACAGTTGGGTCCTTTTCTTCTCCTACGTGACCTTCAGTAGTAAAGAACTTCCAGACTGCATTGTACTCTGTATTTTTTGTGCAACCATGGTGGTGTTTATGCCTAACAAGAAAATAGCCCAGCGCCTGAGTTTCATTTGCAGAGCATCAACGATGCGTTTTTTCTTGTGAGTAGTCTCATGCAAAATAAATGAGCTGAAAATGAGTACTACCTGGAACCCTCCCATGCCATTTCACTGAGTCACATTGCCAGGCACGGCCGCATTTGTAAGTCATATTAGGCTCAAGGCCATGCTTCAGATCCAAATTTTATTATAGTCCGAATCTGAACCTCTAAAATCTGGGAAAATCCAAATCTGGATACAGATTTTATGCTAAAGCAATACAAACTAATAATAACAAACCCATTGGAAACAAGATGTCTGTCAGAGACCCGGCATGCTGAGTACATTAGCAAAACATAAAAGGCATAGTTAAGAAAGATAAAACCATCACTGATAATCTAAATGAATCCTCTGCATTTGTGCTGATTAAGAGGAGGTCAGCAAGGACAATAGAGCTATTCTTTAAAGGGGATGAATCTAAGCATTTTAAATTGTAGTAGTAACAATACCAGCTAGAGGACAACTCAATAAACTGAACAGTAAGACATTGCCAGGGTCAGACAATATTCACAGAAGAGTTCTAAATGAGCTTAAGGATGAAATTGCTTTATTAATTGTCGTATGGGTAACTTACTGATCAAATATGCCTTAATGCGAGATGAATATAATGTAGCAAATGCGATATCAAAAAAGTGATCGTGGGACTTACAGGTCAGTAAGTCTGCATTCTCTGCTGTGCACACTGGTAGAGATTATAATATAGAAAAAAATAGTAGCTATGTGCATAAATGTGTCATATCAGGGAATAATCAAGGCTTTAGTAGAAGAAAGTCACACCTCACAAATCTTCTAGAGTTCTTTGAATTGCCAAAATATGGGATAAATTTCTCAGGCACCTGCCAAGCATACTCAGGACAGCAGTATAGGAAGGCATGGTATAACTGCAGCTCTGGGAGTGGTTGAAGAAGTTTTTTCCATTGCAGAGATTTAGGGCCTGATTCTCTTTTTCTCTGCCATCACAACTTCCTAACAACAACCAGGATCCTTCCAATGCAAGAGATGTAAACCTTCAAGGGTTTTTGCTGAAGAACTCCCAACGGTTGCTGTACAGAGAGACGTGAACACAGGAACTCCACGTTTATATCTATTTTCAGGGCCTTCTTGTTTTGAAAGCTTTGTACATCTTCTATCATTAATACTCTAATAATTTTCCTTCTTGTATCCTTCAGACTTGATTTAGCAACCCGCAAAAAGAAAGACACTTTTAAACATGAAGAAAGGAGGAGGGCCCAGCAAAATAAAAGATGTGTATGTGGTGGGATCACCTGAAGTTATGGTTTCTGATGAAGCAGTAATGTGCTAATGTATGCTTGATGATCGCAGAAGTCAAACAGAGGTGGGGAGTTAAGCTGGCGAAAAATTGGAAGAAAAAGTGAAAATTTAAACTTAAAGAAATAGTAACCTTTTCAGATTTTGTAATCTATTCCACCTTGTTAAAGCTCTAATCAAGATTACATTTGCTTTATTTAGAGTAACAATGAACTGTGCACTATTTACTTATGAATTACAGAAACACCAAGCACAATTTATGCACTGGTGTGAGCGTCGTTCCATCACCCGTTTTCACACACCCCCCTCAGATGCCCTTTTTCCAGTGCCAAACCGAACATAAGAGCCTTGGGAACCCGCTAGCGGCGTCAGGGAGATGACAGCTCTCCGGCTGGATGCTGAACGGAAACGCGGGGACTGCTGTGCCTGTTCTCTGCTGAAGGATCTGGTAGGTAATCAGGGATTTGTGTGTCCTGTCCTGGCACCATTCCTCTACTCTCAGTTGTGCAAACAGTTCCCGACTGAGGTGTATTCTGTGGTTTGCGGGATACATTGCATGTGTTTTTCTCTCTTAGTTAACCTGCCCTTCCTCAAATCTCTTGGCTCGATCATGAAATTTGCCCCTCCGCGCCTGTTCTAAAATCTCGTGTAGAATTTATGACTCTGATAAACATGTACTGTGCTTCCTCCCTCTGAGGTGCCTGCTTTTCTGCAAGGAGGGAAATGATCTGTTTGTATTTACGGGCTATTTCCTTGCCAAAAAATATGAAGGGCAGTTTTATCAGATACCAAGCCCATCAATTTGGCACAGGAATACTCCCCAAACTGAACTCAGTGGTTTCACGCGATTCTTTTTTGACTTGAAGTCGTTTTGCTGCCCCTGACAGG